AATGAGTTACCTCTGTTTCTCAGGCAGGCCCCCTCCCTCACAGTTTTTAAATCCTGCTAAAAATCCACTAATGTTCCCTGGTTTTCAACACTGTATGATTTGTGTTGAACTTGTATGCATCACACTGTGTTAGTCTTTGTTATTATCTTCTATTATTTTGTTTCTATATTTTGATTTTACATTATGTTATGTGTTGCTGTGTGCTTTGCCTGTTTGTTTCTGTCTGTACAGCACTTTGGTTGGCCCTGTTGCTGAGAGCGGGGTACACACTGGACAGGTCTCCAGTCCATGACAGGGACACGGAGACAAACGAGACAACCATTCACCCTCTCACTTACACTTAGGGACAATTTAGAGTTATCAGTCAGTCTAACATGCATGTTTTTGGTCTGTGAGAGGAAACCGGAGTACCCGGAGAAAACCCACACATGCACGGAGAGAACATGCAAACTCAACAGAGAGAGTTCCCGGGCCGGGATTTAAACCGGCGACCTTCTCGCTGAGATGCACAGCTCTACCAACTGAGCCACCGTGCTGCCCAACATAAAACCACCACTTATTTAACCTAATCCAAACTCTTAACAAACTGAATTGACTAGAGAGAGCTGATAATCCTCTGCTGAGCCTTCCTTTAATGATGGCATCTAATGAAAATGATAATAATTGCCAAAATGGCAAATGAACAATAAGTCCAGTGGAGGTGTGGTAAAATCCTAACGACAAGCCTGAAGATGCTTCAGTTGCTACATAAACTTAATAAACAACTTGAACAACCTTCATATTTTGTCTCGCTGGCCATACAAAGGAAATGGGATCTTAATCTACATGCAATGTCTTTGACTCCCTGCTGTTTTGGTCATTGGATGAACTTACAGGAAAACAATACAAATGCAAAAAAATCACATTTTGCTCTGGATAAAGAATGTGGTTAAGCATTTGATGGTTCTATGCATTTTTTTTCAAATTGTATTCTCAAAAATGTCTGTATTGCATTTTTATTGCAATTTGCTTCATCTTTTTGACTCTGCTTTTTAGTTGTACATCACAATTCAGCTTATACTGGATATTTAACTCGTTATTCAGTTTGTAAATAGTCTACACCAAAAGAACAGTAGTCTTACCAGTAGTATTTTTACCACAGTTTTAAAAATCACAAGTTAACTTTTTAAGACCTAAAAATATTTCAAGTTTGAGAAAACAGAACCTCTGATAGTAAACCATGACTTCCCAGCAGAAAAATGTTCTATTTTGATGATAAAGCCATCGTAAAATGTCTTCTTGTAAAGCAGAAGTGGTGAAACGCATTAAAAATAACAGAAATTATGTCCAGATAGAGGAATTACTGTTTATACTGTTATAGTGTTTTGTGTGATTGTTTCCTCTGTTTTGCAATATTTAAAATGTTAGTACTTTAGCGTGACTTTAAAGGAACACTTATTCTTCTTTTTGGTTTATTTATGACCTCACAAGTTCTCTGTTGAGTCTATGAAGTGGCGATGCACAAATTTTCATACACATTTGTACAACACAATGCAGTGAGAAACACTCACAACAACAAAACCCCCCTCAAATTTATTATATGATAAGTTTAAAGTGATTTAAAATCAACCATTTTAAAAACTAGTGAGTGTCAGATAGAACAAGCTCATACGGAGGTATCGACTGCAGTTTTACTAAGTATCTTGAATTAATCCATGTTGGAGAACATCCATTAAAAAACAGACGTTTAGGACGTTTGAAGACCTGCGTTTGTTTTAGAAAACAAAAATGACAATTTAAAAGACACTAAAGAAAAAAAAGTTGTCAAAATACAATTTTAAAGTTTACTGCAGCTGTGAAGAAAATGCACGTCTTTTATTTTTTACCATTTGAAAGTTAGTCTTAGTTTGCCAAAGGAGTTCACATTCAACAAGACTGATAAACTCTTTGTCTAAACTAAGATTGTTCCAAAAGTTGCGTACAACAGATAAGAGATTACTTGCTCAATACCGGGCAGCACGGTGGCTCAGTTAGTAGAGCTGTTGCCTCTCAGCACGAAGGTCACTGGTTCAAATCCCAGCCAGGGACCTTTCTAGGCTGATTGGTAACTCTAAATTGTCTCTAGGTGAGAGAGAGTGAATGGTTGTTAGTCTCCTTTGTCTCTATGTGTCCCTGTGATGGACTGGAGACCTGTCCAGGGTGTCCCCAACCTCTCACACAGTGACTGCTGGATATGGGCACCAGTGACCTCCACGACCTTCTCGCTGAGAGGCAACAGCTCTACCAAGTGAGCCACCGTGCTGCCCGGTATTGAGCAAGTAATCTCTTATCTGTTGCCCCCCTCCCCCACACTCTGGCTGGCATTGTGAGATTACGGTAATTAGCTAAACAAAACCTGAAAGTAATGATTTGTCCAACAAAGTTAAGTCAGGTCCTCTGGTCAGTTTCTTTGGATGAGAAACCGTCCAACTTTGGATTTTTCTACCTGGATTATTGAGCATGAATCAGGATAAAATGATTTGTGCTTTCTACTTCCAACGTGCATTAATGCAGCATAGTTTGAAATTAAAATTGATGTCAGATAAAGATGAAGAGGCTGAGTTATAGCGGTCGGACCATTTCCTTCAAGGCTTTTCTTTTCAGTAAAAACTTGTAGAATACTGCGTTTGTTTCTTTTTACTTGACGTCGCATGTTTGCATCGGTTGCATCGGTTGCAGTGTCAGTTCTGAATCGATATCACTGAGCTCTGTTTTGAAGACGAGCGATGCCTTTTATAGAATGAATAATTATGACAACGAGTCAGAATATCTCATGCTGATGATTCAAAATGCAAGGCTTCTATTAAGCCACGTGCTGACCCTGAATTGCCAACAAACAACTTCAAGGTTGAGCGCAGTTGTTGGAGAGAAAATGTCTTTAAGATGCTGCAGGGAATACACACGACACCAGCAATGAGCATGTTCTAGTCCTAAATACCTGGCACGAAATGGAGCGCTAGGAAAACACTGTTGACAAACCCAGAAAGAAGCTTTCATCAAAGATGGGGATTGAGCCCTGCTTCAGTTCTGAGTCTGTTCCACGTACAGAACTGTTGGACCTTTTCAATGAAACCTGCAGCTCTGAAACATTTACAGCTCCATTTTTCCCCATGAAATGATTAAACCAAAGCTTGTCTGAAAGAAATGTACATGAAACTAGATGTTTTAATTCCCTGTAAGCCATAAGTAACGTGACTTGTGGTCTCTGGAAAGGGTGGGGGTCCGTTGGGAAGAGCTTGTTATCAAGAGCCAAGTCTCCTGTTTTCTCCTCAAAGGAGTCGTTCTGCTCCAGAGATTTCTGGAGGTCACAAGGTCAGTATAAAAAGAATAACATGTGAATGCTCACTAAAGCCCAGCGAGAGTGTTTAATGTGGCGCTCACGTCGTCTCCGCTGCACTGATGCTAGGGACGCGTCCGGTCCGAACCGCGTCGTGTTTCGTCAAGGCAGTTGAAAACTTGCTCTTAATTAATTTGATCATCCGCCTAGGATAAACCACTCTGATGACATCAATTAGATTCTAATGAAAACAGATAAAAAGCCACAGAAAGCAAATGGAATTTCTGAGCGGGACTCATGAAAGCCTTCACGTTGGAACGAATTCCCATCCCGTCCCATAAAAAGCCTTTAATTTGCAAAGCTCATGTCTGGTTTGGTACTTAGAAGTACACGGTCAAATGATTCCGTCTAAGTCCTGCGCCAAGAGGAGCTGAATCAGAATTTAATTTGGCACCAAACTCCTTATCCTGTCTGAAACATGTGGCAGGATGCAATCCTTGGATTAGTGTGGGACTTCAGAACTACACATTTGGCTTGTTTCTCTTCCTCTGGCAGAGCCAACACCTAGTCTCTCCGTTTGGAACACAACATTTACATTTTCAATCTCACAGGGGGACAAAACACTCTTGCTTATTCCAGATTAGTACTTCTTAGTTAACCAAATTGCTGCAATTATGTGTGTCAGTCCATTGACGTGCACTGCTTTGTCTCCTCCGTCTCCTCCTCTTCTCTCTAATAACTGCATGACCTCTTTGAAAACGTCTGATTTGATTTTACAGCCCGAGAAAGATAACGGTTCTCGCACATTAAGATGAATCAATTAATTGAGCCGTTAATGGTGATTTCTCAGTTCTTTGCAGAGATGATGGCGCACTTCAGTGTTGAAATATAAGCTGCCACGTTTCCAGCTAAGTAATCAGGAATGTGAGTCTTGTCGCCTGCTGCCGACAGCTGAAGGTGCAGTGAAAATGTTTTTGTAATAAAATGTCTCATAAACCACTGGTCAAATTTTAATGGAAGTTGCAGAAGGTAATTACTGGATGCATCTACGTGATGGACTTTTGGAGACAGGTACATTAAAGATGGCTGCCTTAGGTGATTTACACGAGCCAACACAAAAATAGTGAAACTAAAGCAAACTGACAGAAAACATTTGATGAGGTAATGTAACATCTCATGAAACTGCATGAAGTTGAATAACTCCATCTGCATCAACATAAGATCTTGGTTTCAAACCGTGACATAAAAGGTGGCGGTCAATATACTCTTTTATTTTTTACAAGTAATAATATGACTCATGATTTCTGGTTTATTTTTTTGAATATTTTTAAGAAATTAGAAGTTACTGTAATTTGTTTAGTTTTTACTTTTAATTCGAACCAGTTCTGTCTGCTGGTGATAAACTTGTCACTCTGCAGGATTTTATTTTATTTTGTTCTGTAGTTTCATAGTTTATCACAAACTGAACGTTAACTGTGACTACGCAGAGCATTGTGGGATCTGTAGGAGGTACTTGGTCATCTTTATCCCAGAATCTGTTTTGTTCTGTGCACCTGCAGCACTACTTGTTTCAATAAAACATGTATCTCGTGTGTGCTTGTTCAGCAGTGCAGAGTCTGTTCTGTTCCAATTGTGACAGTTTGGCTGCAGAGAAAAGGGGAAGTATTTATTAAGCTTTTTTTTGTGGTGTGTTTCTTTATCCCAGCGGACTACCCTCCCCCTCCGCCACCTGCTGAAGAGTCAACTGGTTTCCCATCATTGCCTGCTTCCTTCCCGCCTCTGCCGCTGGACAACTTGTACGAATACCAGGTGAGAGGAGCTGCTGTATAAATGTTCCTGCCTGTCAGTAAGTCAAAGAGTCTGCCGCTCTGAGCACGGCTCCAGGCCCGTGTTCTGAGTCCAGCAGGACTCCATTTGAGCTGCAGCCAACTACAGATACTCTAGGCCAGAGAGGGAGGGAGGGATGGGAGGATGGATGACACCTATTGGTGCAGCTCAGTCATGTATCTTTGCCTCACAGCACCCACAGGCATTTGGCCCTCTGGGAAATGTGGCTGCAGCGCTCTGACTCTCCCAGCTCTTGACCTCTGCAAGTGCTTCACATTCCTTTGTTCAGTAGAAGCAGGAAATAAATAAACCTACTCCTATCTGGATTTGACAAGTTTTCTGTCCTAAGTAAACATCTTTTGTTAATCTAAATAACATTTTAAATACAAATTGCCTCACTATCTTTATCACACACCACCAAGGGCAGCGTTTTTATGCTGTGCTCTGTGTGTGTTTGTTCATGTGTCTGTTGGCAAGATCACTGGACACATTTTAATGACACTCTCAGAAAATAATCACTGGGCATACATCTACAACTGATTCACATTTGGAGTCAGCCTGATTCAAGATGGCCACCAAAACAAAGCAACCGTAGCGAACCCAAATACGGCTAAACTTCAGCCAACTTCACAGATATTTAACTAAAATATGGCGTGATTGTAGCTGAGTCGTCACAACACAAACACTCAGTGCTACACACTGTCCCATTTATTTGCTGAAACCTTTGGTATCAACTCTTGGCATCAACCATGTTTGTCTGTTAGCAAAATACCTCATGGACATATGTTATGAAACTCAGACGATAATCATTGATAAACTCAACTACTTATTAACTTATAGAGTCAACCCAAATCAAGATGACTGCCACAGTTGATACTTTGACAAACACAAAATGCCAACAATTTACTCACACTTTCAGATACTGAGGTATCAATCAATCAACCTTTATTTCTACAGGTAAATCCCATTGAGCCTCGAGGACTCATTTACAAGAGAGACCTGATTTCAACAAAGAAAGATGACAACAATGGACAACAGCAACAACAATAAACAGTTATAAAAAGTCATACTGCAGGTTTTTTTTTTAATTTTATTATTTTTTTATTTAACAAATAGGATGGCTAAAAGGAAAAGGTAACAAACAAAACAAAAATAAATAAAAAAATAAAAAAATAAAAAAATAAAAAAACAGCTAGATTCCAAGACAAATGTAGAAAACTAAAAACAGGAACATGTCTGCATTGGACCCTGCCAGGTGTTCAACAGATTCTTAAAGACACTTAGAGAGATCAAGGTCGAGAGCTTCAAATCCTTTTGTAAGATATTCCAGGAAACAGGAGCGGAGTAGGAGAAGGACCTTTTGTCTAGTTCAGTCCTCACTGAGGGACCACTGCAGGTAATAATGTCCTGAGAGCGCACGCTGTAACTGCACTCACGCAGAGACATGAAGGAGGAGATGTATGAAGGCAACAGACCAAGAAGTGATTTAAAGATGAAAATGTACCAGTGAGAGAGTCTGCGTGAAGTTAATGATGTCCAGTTAACCAGTGGATACAGGGTGCAGTGGTGGGTACGATAATCACAGCCAGTTATGAATCTTAGTGCACCATGATAGACAGCATCCAACATCTGCAGGGTTCTTGTAGGAGCGTTCATGTAAATAATATCACCGTAATCAATGGAGGGAAGGAAAGTCACAGATACAAGGTGTTTTCTAGCATTCAGGGTTAGACAGGATCTGTTTCTGAAAAAGAAACCCAGTTTAACTTTCAGTTTCTTTATCAAGTTTTCCACATGGAGCTTAAAAGAGAGATGTGAGTCGACCAAGATACCCAAATATTTATAGGAATCAACAAACTCAGTGGGGACACCATTTGAGGATAAAATCGGAGGAAGAACTGCTGGGACCAACTTCCTATTTGAAAAAAGCATCCCTTTGGTTTTGTCGGCATTTAGGACAAGTTTGAGGCGAAACAAATCAGTCTGGATGATGTTGAATGCAGATTTCAAAAGCTGGAAAGCCTTAGCAACAGTTTTAGCTCGACAATAAACAACTGTGTCATCAGCATAGAAATGTATGGATGCATTAGGGATGTTTTTACCTACATTATGTATGTAGATTGTAAAGAGGGTGGGTCCTAAGACTGAGCCTTGTGGTACACCATTGTTGACTGTTAAATAACTGGAGGAAGTACCATTATGTTGGAACACATTGCCTCCGGTCTGAAAGATAGTTAGAGAACCAACCAATGGTGTGATCTGAAAAACCGATTTCTGAGAGTTTATGACACAAGATGTTATGATCCACAGTGTCAAAAGCTTTAGACAGGTCTAAGAAAAGTGCAGCACAATAATCCTTAGCATCCTTAGCAGGTATATTTTGAAGTGGTAGTAACTGAGCGTCAAACTCAACATATGCTTTAAGTGCCAACACATCACACAATCTGTGAAAACTGTAGGTCACTTGTAACAATATTTACAAAGTTTAACCAAAACATCTGTAACTATGTCCTCTCTCGTAAGATGGGGCGGGTGAATAGGCGTTGCAACAATTATATGTGAAGGGGACGTTTCCCCCTCACATTAAAAAAATGTTCATTTGGACCCCCACATTTACCATGAAATACTGTATTAGTTCACTCAGTGCTGTTTCTATTGCTACATTAACAAATCCATCCCAATTGATTAATAGGAGAATACTCAAACCACTCTGAGTTTTTCTGGTTACCTGCAACAACTCAACACACTGCATGCAGTGTTTCCTTGAGGTCACATGACTTGGCAGGGCGCTCACTGGGGAAGGACAACACCTCTGTCTTGCACGCAAGCTTAGTTAGTGCCGTCAGCTTTTGACCAGTGGTTAGGGTGCCTGAGACAAGCGGAGCGCTACGTCTGTATCATCTCAGCTAGCACTTCTGTATTGCACGCGACTAACTTAGCGCTATGTTAGTACCAGCAGTTGTTGGTGGGGGTTGTGGTGCGGTGTTGCATTATGATGGGTGAGAGAAGCCGAATGTGCTCTATTCACACAAGGAGAGCTGTTGATAAATAGTTATTGAATCAAGTGTTTACTTATGTAGGTCATTGTCGATGGTTAACAACCCATTAAAATACATCAGAATGCAGGAAATGGCATCTATTTTACTCAAAATTATCTGGGGGACAACCCCCAGACACTCCCACCAGTATATCCTCCCCACATAAAAAAGTGCTATGTGTTGTCATCGAATGTTCCCAAACAGAAGGTTCTTTATACCATACCATACCATACCAATTTATTTATATAGCACTTAAAACAGCAACAAGGCCAACCAAAGTGCTGTACAAAAGAACACAAACATGCACAGCGGACAGGAAAACATAAAATAGAAATACAGATACAAATAGCAGCAGAAGCTAACTAAAATGGCCAACAGAGTAGAGAACAGACCAGACCAAAACAAATCACACCGTGTTAAAGGCAAGCGAATAGAAGTGGGTCTTCAAGCGAGACTTAAAGACTGAGAGTGTGGGAGCCTGCCGGACACTCAGTGGCAACTCATTCCACAGTCGTGGACCTGCAACAGAGAAAGCCCTGTCACCTCTGAGCTTACGACGGGTTTCTGGGACTGAGAGAAGCATCTGGTCTGCTGACCTCAGAGAGCGCGGTGGGACATATGGCTGCAGAAGATCAGTGAGATAGGATGGGGCGGAACTGTTCAGTGATTTAAAAACATACATGAGAATTTTGAAATGGATCCGAAGGTGAATGGGTAGCCAGTGCAGGGAGGCCAAAACTGGCGTGATGTGCTCTCTATAGCCTGTACCAGTTAAAAATCGGGCTGCAGCATTTTGGACCAGTTGTAGACGAGCAATGGAGGACTGACTGATTCCAAACAGAAGTGAATTGCAGTAATCAAGCCTAGATGTTATGAAGGCGTGGATCACTGTCTCGAGGTTCTTATGCAGCATGTCATATGTCAGCTCTGCAGTGGAGAAGTGGGCGTGGCCAACACTGCTGGCAGGTGACAGAGTGCAGCGGAGGGAGAGAGCTGAGATCATGATATTATGATATTCTGTGCGCTTTTAGTGAGTTTAGAAACATTTAGAATATTGCAAGAGTGTGGGAAGGGTTTAAAACGCCTACATATATATACATATACATATGTATATATATGTATATGTGTATATATATATATGTTTATGTATATATATGTATATGTTTATGTATATATATGTATATGTGTATATATATGTATATGTATATATATGTGTATATATATATATATATATATATATATAAATAAACTATTACTTACTACTTATATTACTATCCTACTTCGCAGTTTTTCACTTATCATGGAGCTTCAGGGTACGGGTCCCCGACGATAAATGAGGAATAGTAGTACAAGTAGTAGTAGTTTATTTTATTATATGTATATGTATATATATATATATCTATATATATATATATATATATATATAGATGGATATATAGATATATATATATAATTTTAAACCCATCCCACACTCTTGCAATATTCTGAACAATGTTTCTAAACTCTAAATGCTCTAAAAGAGCACAGCACGTCATGATTTCAGCTCTCTGCGTCCTCTGCTCTTTGCCACCTGTAAGCGCTCTTGGCCACGCCCACTTCTCTGCTCTGCATGGTTAACTTCTGAGCAGCTACAGCAGGAAGTTTATCCTGCCATGAGGGCTTCACAAAGCTGCAGGAGGAAGCTCATGCACATGCTCTGGGCTGCACAAATGTGCAGCAGATGCTAAATAATTTAAAATAATTCATTTAAAATGAAAAAATCATGCCGATCGTGCAGCTCATCCATCAATTAGCCAGTTGTGTGTCATGTCCAATCTTATGTTGAAAAACCACGATAGAGTGAGTCCGCAATAAACGAACCACGAAGTAGCAAGGCACTACTGTTTATCTATATATCTATATCTATCTATATATCTATATCTATCTATTATATACATATATATA